TGTTTTTCCTAATATTTTAAATTCTATATTTTTATTTTTTTAATAATTTCAATAATTTTTGTCAGGTTTTCAATATTTTCTTTGGTATGCCTATATTTGCTTTGATATTAAAATAGTTTATAAACAAACATAAAACACTCAATCCACATTTTCAGATTCAACAAAATGTAAAAAATAAATAACCATGTACCTCCATCGTAATTTTCTGAAAATATGTTTTAAAAAATGGCTATTTTCAATTTGTATAGATCAAAATAAAAAAAATTAATTCTTACGCTTTTATTATATTAAAATAAGTGCATGCATGTAATGCTAGATACTGTTCGAATTTTCTTTTTGTTTTGTTTTCATAATTTGGTTTTGTGTCCATAAATATATTTTCATTTCATTGATAATTCCTCCCAAATATTCCGTTAAAATACAATGATTAATGTCAGTATTAACATTAAACACACAGTGTCGTCACAAATTGAGGATGAACATATCGTTGGAAATGCGTACAATCAAAAGATACAAGTTAAATTAGATTCATACGCATCAAAACTAAAAAATCCTAAAATCGATCATCAAAGGCAACAACCACCTTCGATCATACCACCAAAAACGGATGATCAGGTAATTTAGTTTTAATATTTTTTCGATCTTTCAAAGTACTATGAACCATTGAGGATGAACATATCGTTGGAAAAGCGTACAATCAAGAGCTTCAAGTTAAATCAGATACATACGCATCAAAACTAAAAAATCCTAAAATCGATCATCAAAAACAACAACCACCTTCGATCATACCACCAAAAACGGATGATCAGGTAATTTAGTTTTAATATTTTTTCGATCTTTCTTTTAATATTTTTTCGATCTTTCAAAGTACTATGAACCAGTAACATTTGCGTTGGCTTTTTTTATATTCAATATGAATATGTAATTTTATTTTTTTTTTCTGTTTTATGTCTTTCGTTAATAATATTATTTTCGATTTTCGAACATACTCATAGATTTCTAACGACCACGAGGTTAATGCTCACGAGACAAAATCCGATGAAAACAAAACCTTCGTCGGTGATTCCCAAGGCTTACAAGAAAACCCGATGGACATTTCCGGTAAGACTATTTTTCCAAGATTGCAATGTTCTACTTTATTATTTTTAGTCCATTTATAAAATTATTGTTTCCAATGATGTGATAATTTTCCTTTTTCGGATTCTAATTTTTAAAAAAAGAAAACAACATATTAATATTATTTTTAACACACAGGTAGTGTTTAGTGGCCATTCAATTGTTTTTTTTCAGTTAATTACATTGCACTCTAACTAAATGTTATGTAAAGATTATGATTATCAAAATAAAAGTTATTTAGAATGAAGACAAAAAAAAAAAAAAAAATATAAACTCAGTATGTAGCACGCTTTTAATAGAAAATC